ACGGGAAGGCGAATCAGATTCATAATCAGCAAGCAACAATGTCCACTTCCGATCCCAACAAATTGATGGCCAAAGCCGACAAGCTGTAAGTCCTGCAATTCCTTAATCCCTCTGGCTTTTGTTTTCAATTAAAGAAAGATCTAATCTCGTAATTTCTTGGATCATTTCAGCTGGTTTTTAGATTCTTGTTCGCCGATATCTGATCTGAGTTAGTATTAAGCTAGAAAATGAATAATCTTGATGGATTAGTTGAAAATTAATAGTCAGTTAATTGTGGGAATTTGTGTTGAATTGTTGCTGTAAAACTATCTGTTGCTGACTGATTTGGGACTGTGTTAAGACTGGTGAAGACCTTATGATTTTTGGGCTTCTTCAATATTCGCCACTCAGGCAATTTGATTTCACGTGTTTATTTTATGGTTATGTTTGAAATTGAAAGACTGAGTGAAATAATGACATTATGAGAAATGCTGGAGATGGGTAATTCTTTTTGTCTGTTTAAAGCAAAGAGCCCAGAATTATGATTCCAAATTGTTGTGATTATTCCTTGCTTCTCTCATCGTATTCTTGGCTGATAAAGACCCACTAATGGATGAATAAAGTGTGTTTATTTACTGGAATATGGCTTTTTTTTTTATTGTCTATTTATGAGAATGTGTTTGTGGCTATTAAGTTTCCCTGGAAAATTGATTGGTCTGCTTTTCATCTTTATAGAACAACACTCAGCCTTACTAGATGGAGTGCTGATTGGAAAAGTGCTGTTTTATTGTATGAGCAGGCCGGTAAGTAGCTTCCTCTGCTAATTTAAGGTCACAATCATTAATGTTTAATGGCTAGCACATATCAACACACCTGCCTGTAAAAGAAAAATGAGAGAGAAGAAAAAAGATTGTCATGTTTGTAGGAAGATCCTTTGATAAGTAAATGTCATGCTTAATGGGTTTCTTTTTGCCTCTGATTTTTCCTATTGCAGCTAATGCATTTAGGGTTGCAAGAAATTATGAGAAAGCAAAATTGGCATTCGAAAAAACTTCTAAAGGACAAGAGATGCTCTCTTCGTATCCTATTTTCTTCAACTAAGAATGATGCACATGTTGGTTTTTTTATTCAATTGCATGTCCATGTATATATTTCTCCCTTTCCATATCCTTAATGAGAAAACTAGGCCCTGGGATGCTGCCAAGCACATGGAGTCTGCTGCTTCCCAAGCCAAGGAAATGCGCAGCTGGAGTGAAGTTGCAGATTTTTACAGAAGAGCATCTGAACTATATATGCAGTGTGGAAGATCACAGCCTGCATCAGATGCTCTTGCGAAGGGTGCACGGTAAAGACAGACTATTTTTTTGTTAACAGAACTGTGGTCTAATACCCTTCTTATTTGAACTTCACTACACCCTTCAAACTTAGTATTCTTACTTAGAAACATGAAATGATATAAACTGGGTTAAAAATACTTGAGATAATCTTTTGAAGTTCTAGGAAAGTTAAACTGTTCCATTAAATGTTCATTAGTTGAACTTTAAGAACAATTTCTTTATTTTAGAAATTGGAGCTATGCCAAATAGGCTTTTCTTAGAACTGCTTCTAGAATTGTTTAGAAGCTATGCTAAAGTAGTTCTTTGCCCTCTTGATGAATTTCAATGAAGGCTTGACTTCGGGGAAGTCTTGCAATTGAAAATCATGGAAATTTGAGAATTAACATTTTCAAGCCTGTATGCTTGTCTCTATGAGGCTATTGTTCTTGGAAGTGTCCCCAATACCAAATATCCAAGATGTGGGATTGTCTAGTTTTCTGAAGTCAGTGCTTATAAAAATAAGTTGAGCTCGTTTCTATCTTCTTCATGTGTCCTTTCTTTTGAGTTAATCAAAATCTTCTGACATGAGTGAAACATACGGAGTGGACAAAAGATTTTGTTCTGGTACCTTGTTATTCCTATATTGAACAAAATGAGTTCCTTTTTTTAACGTGTACTCTAATAGAAATGTGTGCAAGCATGTGCTTGTGTATCTTGTATCTCTTTTCTCTTCTTCTTCTTCTCCTTTTTTTTTTTTTTTTAATAAATCTCTCTCTCTCTCTCTCTGATCTTTCTGGTGTCTTCTCTTGTTGTAAACAACACGTATATCTTTGAAAAATCAGTCTTAATCTTTTTGTTTCTTTACCAATGTGTCAGTGTTGCTTATGGGCCTTGAGATTGTACACAGAAAGCCCTTGATAAATTTTCTTCTTTAACTCTTGTCATATCTACCCTTATCACATGGTTTCTTAATTAACTCCATTATTATGTTTTCTTTTATAGTGCTCTAGAAGATGCTGTGCCTGACGACGCCATTCAATTGTATACCGATGCCTGTGAGATTCTGGAAGAGGATGGGAAGGAACAGATGGCATTTGATCTGTACCGTGCTGTCACTAGTGTTTATATTAAGCTTGAGAAGTAAGGATTTACATTTCCTTAAAATTGTGATCCAGTCATGTTTATGTTAAATAATCTTATATGATTGAGATGGTGGGGACAAGTTACCTATGTACATCATATCCTTTTTTTTTTTTTTAATTAATTTCATAAAAATGCAAAATTCTGATAATAAAGTGGTAATCATTGGAATACTTGGTTTTTTTTATTATTTGCTTAATTGGCTAGGGTACCCACTAACATTTGATGGAGTAACATTTGATAAAGTTCTCCTTTTCATCTTTAGATCTTCTAGATTTTAAGCCGTTTCTAATTGTACAAGGTGTTTTGTGCCATTTAATGACATCTTTGTTTTTGGTTCTTCAATCTTAAAAGACACTTTTTGCTATTTATCAAAAAAGGAAAAAAAAAAGGGGGAAGGAAAAGAAAAGAAAAAAGAAAAAAAGAGGACACTTTGCTAAATGATCTCAGGAAATAGAAACTGCTTGTTTGAACTGCTGGCAGCATGCAATGGTCTTATTGCCACGCAAGAGATTGCTACCACATTAGCTGGACTGGTTGTTTGTAAAATTTGTTAATATAAAATTGCGCTTTGCTCATGTAATTGAACCTTGTACAAATGAGGATCTTATCTGGTTTTTTCTCCCCACAGGTATACAGATGCTGCAACGTTCCTGTTGAGGTGGGGCTTAGCTGCTGACAAGTGTAATGCTAGTAATAGTCAATGCAAGGTGTGAATTTATGGTTTGTAGTCAAATGATTTACCTCTATTAATGAACACCATTTATTCTCGTTCTCTTTCGCTTTGTTTTGCTATTCAACTTTTCTTGAGAAGTGCTAATATTTAAGTGCCTTGTTGCCCAATTTATTTATAGTTCATATCCATTATCTCTCTTTCATATCGTAGCTGATATGAGCACACTATTTTCATAATGTTCCTATATGGACTGCAGCTTCTCCAGAACATGGATTCTTGACGTACAAAATTAGGCCACTTTGGTCTTTTTGGGCATTTATGACCTTTTTGTACTTGTTTTGTACTGCATCCTTTTTATTTATGTTAAACAAGCTGTGGAACTAATAATACATTATCTCTAACTTATCTTTTCTGATTGCAGGCATATCTTAGTGCTATAATTGTGTATCTTTATACTCATGACTTCAAGCAAGCTGAGAAGTGCTACAATGATTGTTGCCAGTGAGTATGACTATCTTTGAGTAAAATTTGTCATCAACTCATTCAGTGCACTTCTGATTCATCAACTCATTCAGTGCGCTTCTGATTCAAATGGAAGCAATTGTCTTTAATGGGACTTGAACCCAGGGACTTGCTGCCTCTTTCACATAAAAGTGTGGCAGATGCAATTGAACCAAAGGCCTGCAGGGATGAAGTATTAGATTGGTATACAGTTTTTTAACTTTTGATATATGAGACTGGAGTATACAATAGGAGATAGACTTCTGCAACCCTAATCCCTCCTTATCTCAAGGTAGGTTAGAAGTCCCATGTTCAAACTTCAAACCATTGGAATAGCCCCCACAGGACTAGATTGCTGTAGATAAGTGAGGTAATCTGCTACTCACTGTTGGCTTATAACAAGATATAGCATGTGGAATTTTGATTTAATAACAATCTGAACAGCCTTGATCCTACATCCTCAGAATCTAGGAGAGGAATATCTTTGAGGCATGAATCCTACCCCATATCTTTTCTACCTGTTGGTCAAAAAGGTTGTAACCACCATAAAAAATCCTCTTCCCTGAGAAAACTTCTCCCTCTCGAGTCATTGGTAGCACGATTCATGTACAGTCTACATATAAAAGAAACATTATCTGTGAGTCTTTAAAAGGTAGTTAAGGTTCAACTTGTTTATATATATGGCTCTAATGCAGCTGCTCAGCCCCCCTGCCCCCCCAACCTACCCCCTTTCATCCTCCCCCATCTCCCCCCTCATTATTATGCCTGTGAGTTACATTACTTGAGGTTGAAAATAGCAGCATAAGATAGAAATACTTTATCTTGTATAAAAAGCATCTGTTTTCAAAATAGAAGATTTGCAGTTTAACTGATTGTTGTCGCTTCTTTCCAGAATTGATGCGTTTTTAAGAAGTGATCAGAGCCGCTGTGCAAGTAAACTACTTTCTGCATATGGAGAAGGTGATGTAGAGGAAATTAAACGTGTGGCTCAGTCTAGTACTATTTCAAATCTCGACCATGTGGTAAATCCTTTGACTGTATATACATTTTTCATGGTGTGTGAGCCTGTCTTATGACAGTGTTTTATTTTAGAAACTTTTAAATGCCATCTACCAAACATGGGCCTGGGTTAAATCACATGTGCTGGATAGATCTGACATATACTAGAATAACTCTAGATTAACAATTATTCAAAAGCAAGGTTGATGGTGCAAATGGCTAAATGTATAGAACTTAGAAGGAGATAGTCTGGTTCACCATAGGTAGGGCTCTGAAGTCCACCCAACAAATTGCCCCCTATAACAGACTCTTGCCCAGAGTCTAGCTCCTAATCATTTTTCTCTTTTTTCCTTTTTATGGGAGTCTGGCTGCTATTTTTATTTATCAGGATTTCACCACCCTTTGAAATTCAAACTTGATACAAGGAATCTGCTTGATTACACTGCATATATTGTTCTTTTGCCAAGAGACTAAAGAAACTAGAGATAGGCACTAGTAAGGGGATGGGTATATCTTTGCATTACATGTCTCATTGCTGCATTTCATTATTATGAAAGGGAAAATGAGGTTTACAGCGTGAATCGCAGCAGAGTCAATTACAGAAATTTGACAGATGTGAAATGTGTGCAGATCATAAGACTTGCAAGAAAGCTGCCAACTGGTGATGTTAGCTCGCTGAAATCCGATGCTTCTAAAGGGGAAGAAGAACCACTGGATGAAAATGATCTCACCTGAAAAGTTTTCACCTTTTCAATTCAGTAGTAGTATTTTTATCATAAACAGATGGGTCCCTGTGTGAATATACCTCTGATAAGTTTGGTTTGGTAATTGCATTTTAATGAATGGAAATTAACTACTTGTGCCTTCTAAACAGTTGCTTTGGTAAACACTCTTTTGTTAATTCGTGCATGAAATCTATAATTTGAATATTTTTACTTGTGAATGGAATATAGTACCTATTCATATTTCCAAAAAAGTGTGATGCACAACATAAACTTCATTAATATTAATGTGTTATAGTTCATTGTAATCTGAATTATAATATAATATAAGAATTCTTTATATTTTATTATTCTTAACTTTTTAAAAAAAATTTTTGTGGCAAAGTAAAAAAATCAGTTTTTAGCTATTTTCCCTCAATGCCCATGGCCATGGTCCAAATTATTGAAATCACGAAATATTTCTATATGTATCCGAAAAAAAAAAAAAGGCCAAATCCACAAAACTGCTCTAATTACCATCGTGCCATTGTTTGGCTTCAAGCCTCCAGGAGACTTGGCGGGAAAAGATTGTTAGCAGTTAGTTACCTGTTCCGGCGGCACTGTCTCCCAAGTTCGGTCATTATCTCTCTAACCGAATCGGAGAAATCGAGAACAGTTTCTCTCTCTCTCTCTCTCTCGCTCCTCTCATGGCGCACTTCCGTCTCCCCATCCTTTCCTTCCTCCTCCTCCTCCTCAACATAACCATCGCCTCCACCGTTGCTCCACCACAACCTAACCCACATCAGCTGGACAACATCATCGACGCTCTAATCGGAGCCGCAGACTTCGACAGCTGGGCCAGCATGCTTTCCGCCGCCGACCTCCTCAGCTTCCCACTCTCAGTCACGCTTTTTGTCCCCTCCGACTACTCTCTCTCCAACCTCCCGACTTCCTCCACCACTACCGCTGCCGCGGCCGCTGCCATGGATCCCTTCACCATCTCCTACCACATCGTCCCTCAACGCCTCGCCTTCTCAGATCTATGCCTCCTCAAACCGCTCTCTCGCATCCCTACTCTCCTCCCCTACAAATCCATCCTCATCACAAACACCTCGCTCACCAATTTCACCCTCGACGACTCCCTCCTCTCCCAACCGGATCTCTACATCAGCGCCTCCATCGCTGTGCACGGCGTCGACACTCTCCTTAACTACACCGTCTACGGCACCGACACTGCCCTTCTGCCACCTCCAACGCCGCCACCAACTCCGCCGAGAAATAATCGACCCTCACATACTCCGCCGTCACCTCCAACTGATGCGATTGATCTCCCATCTGGACTGTTGTTGCCGCTTGGAAATGAAATCGGTGGAAGCCGGAGGTCTGTTAATGCTGATTGGTTGTACAGGGAATACCTTCCAATTGTTCTGTTGATTGTTTGTGTGGTTTTGGGGATCAGGATTTACGGTAATCCTTTTGGTGACTGACGAAATTAAAGAAGCAGAGCATTCCTCATATACTGTACAGATCAACGTCTCCTGTTTGGATTCTCGGACTCAAGATTTCTTCATCTATTCTGTTGGAATATTGCTTGGAGTCGGATATTGTATTCTTTCTGTTTGTAAAAATTAGGGGATTCCTCTCCGCAAAAGAAATTTGGTGTGTTTGTATTCTCAATTTTGTCAAGAATTAAAACCATCGAGTTCCATAATTTCTCCTTTTCTAACGCCAGTTAGTCTCCTACTGCCTTGGCTCAACTCAACCAGGCACAATGTCATTTGAGGCATTTAGCAGTCTTTTAAGTTCAATAACAAAGTTACATTATGTAGAAAAAAAAAAACTCACATAGAGGTAGTGGGTTGAATAAATCTTGATGTGTTTCACATCATACAGCGTAGAACAAATTACAACATTGAACAAAAGTCACAATATACAAGAAAGTAATGAAAACAGAAAAAGGAGTAGCAGCCAGTAGTTGATAAGAAAACAGCTAACTCTTTGAATTCCATTGTTTTTTTTCGTTGCAGTTAACATGGGTATCAGCACTTTAGCCGACTAAAGTTCGACCTTCAAAGGTGACGGATGTTACTCAACTTTGAATTAAGTCGAGAAAACACAAAACCTGCACAATATGTTTGTTGAAAAAATTTTTAAGCTCTTCATAAGTTAAAACGGGGTTGTGAGTATAATTTAAACTGATAAAAAGAAATTACTAACAAAATGGGAGCGAATTAGTTGCGATTTGAATGAGAAAGGAAAAGATGCAAAGCAAGAGGGTTATATATTGACAATGAAGATGAGTGAAATCATAACTTACCCAGGTTACCACCAATTAGCCAAAGGAAGGTTGAAGGACGTTTTTGATGTTAGGATTGTCCCACTCCAGCGATTCCCACCATTCTTTTGAGTCTATCCAGATTCTTTCAAGAGAAGGGGAAGGAGAAGGTTCTCTATTGTCGATGAGGGGCAGGTGTAGAGAGATTCTCTTTAACTTGGGACAGTCAAGTATTATGACACATACTTCAGAGAATCACAAACCATTACTCCTCTAGCACTGCAGATGCTCTTCAAATAGGGTAAGTCTGACAATTCCATTTCCCTTGAATTCGGAAAAGGGAATTTAACACAGGCATTTGATGCCATTACTTGCTCTTCATCCGAAGCTATTATTTCCTCCATTTGTTTGCAACTACTGACTTCAATTACCTCCAAATTTGGAAGCCTTGCAGCAGCTCAACTGGAAACAACTTTCGAATTCCCGAACATCTTGTTATGTGAAAATATTTAAGACTGGAAAAGATGCGCAACGGCATTGGTGTTCCTTCCACACTCACAAGTTCACACAATTTAGGCAGTCTTCCAAGGACTAGCATTTGAAGCTTAAGCACATGGCTGCACAGTGAGGACAATGACACCAGGTCAATCACACACTCTATCTCTTCACAGTTCCAAATAGAACAGTAGCTCAACTCAGTGGCATTTTGAAGCACCAAAGCTACATCACTTAAGCTTCTCATGTTAATACACTGCCTCATCTGCAATTCTTGAATGTCACCTGGAAGCACCACACTATCTTCTCCTCTTGTCTCACATTCACTTAAAACAACACACCTATCAGATTTAGTTATGGGCTCATCTGAAACTTCCTCTGATTCTCCCAGCACAAGAAGATAATTAAAAAGATTTTGAAACTGTCCAGACTTGACATAATTACTAAAGTCTTATAAATAGAAATGCCCTCTCAAAGTCTCCAGTTTCCTCAAATTTGCAACCTCTTCTCCTTTTATCTTTAGTAGCCAATCTACCACCAAGGACTGCAGACAAGAAAGGTTAGATAATATTCCCACTAGAAGCTCATCTAATGGACAATATAAATCAAGATATTCAAGACATATCAACATCTCCACGCCTTGAGGAGCCACTTCAATCCCTGTCTGATGTAGATCCAACTTCTTCAATGCCTTAGGCTTTGCCAAGGAAGGCAAGTATTTCAAGCTGTAGCATGATGATAATCTCAATGCAGTGAGATTCTCCAAGTTAGAGATGGAATTAGGTAAAACCTCAATATCAGTATTAGAAAGATCAAGAATCTTGAGTCTGGACATATTTTCAAAAATAGATTCTAGAATCTCCCTCAAAAGACGATTGTCTCTTAATATCAAGGTTGAAAGAGCTAAAATTTTGGGGATAAACTAAGAGGAATTGTTGATATTTTATTATTCATCAAAGAGACCTTCTCAAGATCTTCTGTCCATTCAAGTTCATCTGGTACCTCTGTCAATTGTAGGCCAGCTTTCACCATAAGCTGATTACCAGCACTTTTAATACGCAATGTCATGTCTCTCACAACATCATGCCATCTTCACAAATCCTCATGACTAGTATCTACCACCAGAGAACTCCTTTTGATTTGACATGCAGCGCCATTTCTCTTGCAACATCATGCATATTGACAAATCCCTCATCAGTACATTCTTCCAACAAGCAATTATTTTCCAGTCTATTTAAAATAGCATGGCCCCTATCATATTTTGCTTGTCTACTTCCTAATTCACCAATTAATCCTCCATCAATCCAACCTTCTATCAAGTCTGGTCTATGCATTGGATAATCTTCTGGATATAGTGAGCATTAAAGGAAACAATCTTGTATTTTTGAATTCTTCAAACGGTCATAACTAAATCTTAACCGCTCAAATAATTCATTTTCCAAACCCTTCACACTATGCACACATTCTTGTAATTCAACTAGTGCATTTCTCCACTCACAAATATCACCCACCCATTCTAGACTCCTTACTATCACAACAATGGCAAGAGGCAAACCAGCACACTCCTCGACCACAAGTTTCAAAACTTGTTGCAAGTAATTTGGAACTTGTATAACATCACGTCCAACCTTCTCTAGGAACAAATTAAGAGACTCTTGTGGGGAAAGAGGTAGCACTTTCACAAATTCACAATCCAAACAACTACATATATCAACAGATCTACTAGTGATAACTACTTTGCACCCATTTTTTGATTTGGGAATTCCAACACTGTCCAAAGAGAAGCTTTCCCACACATCATCTAAAATTAAAACATAT